AAAATGTGTGGTCTCAACCTCAAATCAGGCTCCCAGCCCAGAGCACCAGAGCCAGGAAAAGGTGCACATATAACATCTGACTGTGAAAATCGGCAAAGAATCTGTCCACCAGGGAGAGAGAGGAGTCTGCTGCAGACACAGGTACCCTTCTTAAAGGACCAAAATCTCGTTCACTCACTCTGGGCTCCAGCAGAGGGAGGGCAGAGAGGACTAGAGTTGTGTGAGGAGAGACTGGTGTTTGTGCCTCTGGAGAGATAGCTGAAGGGACAGCTGCCAGGGTCCCTGTGCTGAGTCCCTCTGCCACACCACAGATGCCATCTTTCTTGGGTGGAGCACTCACTCCCTTCATATGGCATCAGCAAGAGGGAAAGCAGCAGCCCCGCCCTCTGGACTCCCTGTTGCCCCGGGCTGCAGGGCTTGCATCATGCTGAGGAGTCAGCTGCCTGAGCTGAGCTGTAGAGGTCTGGGCAGACTCAGAAGGTGTCAGTGACGGAGTTGTGTGGCTCTGGGGCGGGGCCACTTCCCCACCTTCTCCCAAGCCTGCTGGGCACCACTCCTCACAGGAGATGTACTATCCCCATCCTCCTGATTCCTGGCTGCCTTGTCCTCCTGAGATCAGGTTCCTGGAAGAATCTGGGACAGACTGAGTTGTGGCTCCAGGATGGGGCCATTTTTCATTCACACACCTGACCAGCGCAGAGCCCTACCTTCACATGGCCAAATCTTGGTCTGTTTGGGCCTGATGAATTCTACTGGCCTCACCTTGATGACTCCCTGAGACCCTGTCCACCACAAAGGTGTGCAAGCATCCAGCAGGGGGCAGCCAGACTTGGTATACCCTGGGACATTTGCTGAGTGGCCTCAGACCCAGCATTGACACCGAGTCTGAACCTGTATCAGTTGGTGAACACCACTCGCCCCTACCTGGTGACTCACTGAGAACCTGCCTCATGCAACTCGAACCCCACCAGGGGTTCCTTCAGCGACCGAGCCTAACAGGCAGTCTGAAACCAAGAGCTGGTGCTTTGAAAAGACAAACAATAGTGACAAACCCTTAACCAGACTCATCAAGAAAGAAAGAGAGAAGACTCGATAAATAAAATCAGAAATAAAAGAGAAGTAACAACTAACACCAAATAAATATAAAGGATTGTAAAAAAATATTACAAATGCCTATATGCCAACAAATTGGACATTTGGGACAAAAATGAATAAATACCCAGAACATACAGCCTTCCAAAACTAAATCAGGAAAAAACAAAAAATTGGAAGAGACTGATTAGCTGCTGATGAAATTTGAAGTCAATAATAAAAAAACTCCCAGCTAACAAAAGCCCCGACCAGTGAATTTTACCAAACATTCAAAGAACTAACACCCATCCTCCTTAAACTATTCCAAAAAATTCAAGAGGAGAGAAGACTCCCAAGCTTATTTTACAAGGCCAGCATTATCCTAATTCCAAAATCAGATATAGACACTCCAAAGAAAGAGAATTATAGGCCAATATCCCTGATGAATATAGATGCTAAAAATCCTCAACACAATATCAGCAAACTGGATCCAGCAAATACATTAAAAAGACCATACATCATGATCAAGTGGGATTTATTCCGGGCATGCGAGGTTGGTACAATATCTGCAAATCAATAAATGTGACACACCACATAAACAAAATGCAGGATGAATATCACAATATCATACCAATAGATGCAGAAAAAGTATTTGACAAAATCCAGCACCCATTTATGATAAAAACTCTCAGCAAAGTGGGACTAGAGGAAACATACATCAACATGATAAAAGCTATTTATGACAAATCCACAGCCAACATCATACTCCACAGGCAAAAACTACAATTGCTTGCCTTAAGGTTGAGAACAAGGCAGGGTTGTCTGCTTTAACTACTCTTATTTAACATAGTACTGAAAATCCCGGCCACAAAAATCAGACAAGAAGAAATAAAAGCCATCCAAATTGGCAACGAGGAAGTAAAACTGTCATTATTTGCAGATACTGATATATGACAACCCTAAAGATTCCACCAAAAAAAAAAAAAAAACAACCAACTAGAATTGATAAATAAAATAAAGTAGCAGAATACCAAATAAATATCCAGAAATCAGTTGCATTTATATACACCAGTAATGAACTATCAGAAAGGGAAATGAAGAACCAATCCCATTCACAACTGCTTAAAAAAAATACCTAGGAGTAAATTTGACCAAGGATAAAAAGACCTATACTTGTAATTATAAAACACTGAAGAAGAAAACTAAAGAAGATGATAATAAGTGGAAGCACATACCATGTTCGTGGATAGGAAGTATTAACATCATTAAAGTGTCCACACTACCCAAAGCAATCTATAGAGTCAGTGCAATTCCTATCAAGATACCAATGTCATATTTCACAGAATTAGAACAAATATTCCAAAAACTTATATAGGACTGCAAAAGACCCTGAACAGCAGTAGTGATCTTGAGAAAGAAGAATAAAGTTGGAGGAACCATGCTACCTGATATCAAACTATACTACACAGCCAGAGTAATCAAAACAGCATCATACTAGCACAAAAACAGACATATAAATCAATGGAACAGAATAAAGAGCCCAGAAATAAACCGATACCTTTATGGTCAATTAATATTTGAAAGAAGGCAAGAACATACAGTGGGGTAAAAGTAGTCTATTCTATAAATGGTGTTAGGAAAAAACAGATACATGGAAAAAAATCAAACCAGACCACATTTCTTTTTTTTTTTTTTTATTCTCACCCGAGGACATTTTTCCATTTTTTGTTCAGGTAGAGTGGGAGGGAGAGAGAGGAACAGAGAGAGAGAGAAAAACATCGATGTGAAAGGAACACATCGAGTGGCTGCCACCCGCACAACTGACCAGGGCCGGGGACATACTGCAACCGAGGTACGCACCCTTAGCGGGAACCGAACCCGGGTCTCTCAGGACCGCAGGCCAACGCTCTAACCGCTGAGCCAAACCGGCCAGGGCCAGACCACATTTCTTTAAAAAAATTTTTGTTGTTGTTGTTTATTAATTTTTTAGAAAGAGAGAGAAAGAGAAAGGGGGAAGAGAAACATTGACAAGAGTGAGCATTGACTGGCCGCTTCCTGCATGCCCCCCACTGGGGATCGGGTCCACAACCTGGGCATGCACCCTGACCTGGAATTGAACCAGTAACCTCCTGGTGCACAAGTTGATGCTCAACCACTGAGCCACACCAGCTGGGCAAACTAGACCACTTTTTTACATCATACACAGAATAAATTCAAAATGAATTAAAGACAAATGTTAGATTTGAAACCATAATAATCCTAGAAGATAATACAGGCAGTAAAATATCAGATATTTGTCATAGCAATATATTTTCTGACATATATCCTTGGGCAAGGGAAACAAAAGGAAAAATAAACAAATAGGAAGACATCAAACTAAGAAGTTTTTGTATGCCCTGGCCAGTGTAGCTCAGTAGTTAGAGTGTCAGCCCTCACACTAAAGGGTCACAGGTTTGATTTCCGTCAAGGGCACATACCTGGGTTACAAGTTCGACCCCTGGCCCGGGTTGGGGAGCATACAGAAGGCAACCGATTGATGTGTCTCTTTCACATCAATATTTCTCTTTCTCTCTGTCTCTCTCTCTGCCCCTCTCCTTTCTTCCCTCCCACTCTCTCTAAAAATCAATGAAAAAAATATCCTCTGGTGAGGATTAACAACAAAAGAAAATTCTTTGCATTAAAGGAAATTACCAACAAGATGAAAAGACAACTAAAATATGAATGAGAGAACATATTTGCCAATAATACATCTGATAAAAGGTCAATGTCCAAATACAAAGAACTCAACACCAAAAAAATCAAATGATCCAATGAAAAAGTGGCCAAAGGTCCTGAATAGACACTTATCCAAAGAGGACATAGAGATGGCCAATAGACATGTTCAAAGATGCTCAACATCACTAATTATCAGAGAGATGCAAATTAATACCACAATGAGGTATCACCTCACGCTTGTCAGACTGTCTATCATCAATAAATCCACAAATGACGAGTGTGGAGAAAAGGGAACCCTGCGCTGCTGGTGGGAATGCAGACTGGTGTGCCCACTGTGGAAAGCAGTATGAAGTTACCTCAAAAAATTAAAAATGGAACTGCCTCATGACCCACTGATTCCCCTTCTGGGAATTTATTAGAAGAAACCCAAAACACTGATTCAAAAAAATATACGCACCCCTATGTTCATTGCAGTGTTATTTACAATAGCTAAGATTTGGAAGCAGCCCAAGGGCCCATCAGTAGATAAGTGGACAAAAGAGCTGTAGTACATTTACACAATGGAATACTACTTGGCTATAAAAAAGAAGGAAATCTTACCTTTGGTGACAGCACGGATGGACCTGGAGAGTATTATGCGAAGTGAAATAAGCCAGTCAGAGAAGGACAAATACCATATCATTTCACTTCCATGTGGAATATCACAAAATAAACTAGCATACAAAATAGATACAGAGAACAGACCGACAGCTATTCGAGGGGAAGGAGGGTGCGGAGCTGGGTGAAAAAGGTGAAGGCATTAAGCAAAAAGGAAGAAAAACCTCATAGACACAGACAACAGGATGGCGGTCACCAAAGAGAAAGGGGGTGGGAGAGGTGGGAGAGGTGGGAGAGGATAGAGAGGAGATCAATGGTGATGGATGGAGACTTGAATTGGGGTGGTGAACACACACTACAATATGCAGATGATGTATGATAGAATTGTACACCTGAAACCTACATAATTTATAAAAAAATAAAAAAAAAGAACCACTAGAGAACTTAAAAATATTTTTTATATCCAAAGTACCACACTATGGGACAATGACTTTTAGGACCGTCATTTAAAACAAAGCAACGTAGAGAACAACCGTTTAGTACAAAGTTGTGTTTGGCTGCCCAAACCCGCCTGGACTACAAAGAGAGCGTTGTCTGGGGAACAGCAGCATTCTTACCTCCTCCAGGGCCCACAGGGAGTCCACAACGGGCTTGATCTTCTTCTGGGTGTAGAGTGCCAGGAGCTTGTCCACCACCCCTCGGATGAGGCCCGCGCGGCCCTGCTTGAAGAGCAGATTTAAAAGGGAAAACCCCGCGATGACTTTGTTCTCTTCGTACAGCTTGATGGGGTTCACTTTCTCGACCTGCCACCACTGGAGAGAGGGGGTTTCGGGTTAGGAGGACAAAGCCACGCCGTGTTCTCAGCGTATCGGGAGGGGATGGGCTGCACAGGGCCAGACGCAAGCTGGCCAAGAGGTATCTTTTTTTAAAGTTACAAAGTTCATGCCAAGAAACATCTTGGCTCACAGGTGAACAGTTGTCAAGGTTCTAAAACATTGCTGTGCATGTGGCTTTCTCCATGTTTCATGTTTGGCGAAAGTGACTGTTTTTCCATATTTTAAAAACTCACGCACCATCTAAAAGACTGTAGAAACCTCTAGGCACCCAGACAACAGGGTCCACAAAATCCTGACTGGAAATGGACCTGGGGAAAATGTGCAGCGCTTCTTTAGGGAGCACTTCACCTTTCTTACAGGCAGTACGCCAGACTCGGGCAGAAGAACTATCTAGGCATCTCGGTGAACGAATGTCCGTGGACTGATTACCAGTTCTGTTGACAATTTGCTTTTACCACTGTCCTACTTTGACTCATTTTCCTCACCCATGAATGTGGTCCATGTGTCGATGGGATGTTCTCAGTTCCATGGTGGGTTTTCTACAACAATTTAGTTTCAAGAGAGTGATCAAAAGTGTGAGCCCTGCCCTGGCCGGTTTGGCTCAGTGGTTAGAGCATCGGCCCGCAGACCAATGAGTTGCGGGTTTGATTCCTGTCAAGGGCACGAACCTCGGTTGGGGTTCATCCCGGCCCTGATCGGAGTCGTGTGAAAGGCAACTGCCCATGTGTTCCTCTCGGTCGAAGTTTCTCTCTCCCTCCCTCTCACTCTATCTGACGATAACTGGAAGAATATCCTCGAGTGAGGATTGAAAAATAAAGTGGGAGCCTGGTGGGGGCAGTCCCTGTTACCCTCGAATCTTGGCTCAGGGAGGACTTTGGCGGGAGTGCTCTCTTCAGATGTGGTTGGTGTATTTTTTAAAGCATCTGTGTGGTGAGCGCATGGGAATCTACAGACAGTGATGCCTGTGAGCAGAGCTCAGGATCGGGGGACAGAGAGCTCTGTCCGGCGACCACTAGGCCACATGGAGCTGGGCGCGGCATGTGGCTCGGACCAGCAGCTCTGGAGCTGCATCCTGGCTGTGCAGCTTGCCCCGTTATTCTCCGTGCTTCGTTTTTCTCAGCTACCTGCCGGGGCAGGTCATTGCCTCTGCCGCTTCCTGGGAGAATTTAGTGTAAAGCACGTGGCTTGGTGAACGGTGGTGGTGGTGCGGGGGTTGGTGAAGGCAGGGGGGTGGCATAGAGGGTTACAAAGTGCGCTGGGGACATGGTAGGGGCAATGACATTGACTGAAGGTGTGGCTTTCCCAGGGGGATAACAACAAGGCTGGAGAGATGACATAACGCATCAGACAAGGAAGAGTGAGCAGTGTGATTCAGGGACAAGGAAAGGAGTGATAAAACCATAGTACTGGGGCTGAGACAGTGGTTCTCACCTGGGGCAGTTTTTCCGGAGGGGACATTGCTAATGTTTAGAGACATTTTTATGGTGAGGACTGAATGCACCGCCTCTAGTGTGCAGACATCAGCAATACTGCCCAACACAAAGTGCACAGGACAGCGCCTGGCAACAGAGAATTCCTCAGCCCAAAATGTCAGTAGCTCTAAAGGTGAGAACCCCCGGACTAAAGTCCTCCGTGGGATACACACAACATGCAAACCTGGCTGCTTCTTTTCTGATCTCTCATCTCCCAATCAGACATGAAAATATGTAAATAGTCCATTAACTAGCTGCAGAAATGGTCATCCAACTGCTTTGTTCCGATTTAAATTGTGATTCCTTTGGTGCCGGTTTGAATTTGGAAATCCAAGTTCCAGTTTCCGGAGGGTTCTAAGAGGTGAGCTGGTTATTATTATCAGTTTAATATTGAAGGCAAAGATGAATGTGATGCACTTATGAGCTTTCATAACATCTGTGCTATCGTTCTGCTCATTTATATCTTGCCTCTTCCCAGGATTGACGAAGCTCAAGAAAGTAAAAGATCTGATTTACTTTAAGTGAGAAAATCATACTAGGAAAATAAGTGTGAGAATGACGGGCTTAAGTAAGGATCAGGTTCATGCACAAAATTCTTTACCAAAGTACATTCCCCAAGGGCCTGAGGGCCAGCTCCGGGAGAGATATGCATTTCACCGTGGGCTACTTGCCAAAGAAAGCAAAAGAAATCATTAATCACTTGATCCGCAGTGTATCTGCAATGCCTCAATCAATACTTGTGAAATGAATGCTGAATCTACAGTTGCTGCCGTCGTGCTTGAGTTCCAGAGCCGAGGGCCTGATCTGGAATCCCAGTTCTGCCACTTACTAGCTGTGCAACCTTAAGCAAGTCACTTAACCTCTCTGTGTGCAGCTTCCTTGCTGTCCCTCATGGGGTCCTCCTGAGGGGTAAATGTGTTAATACATACAAAGTGCTTTGCTCAGTGTCTGACACGTACTAGGTACTCTGTAAATATAAACCAGCTTTATTGTCATCGCATGTCGGAGGGCAGGTTTCGATTTCGTGAACAGGCGCTCTGAAGTTGGAGTCAGACTGCTCTGTAAATGCCAAATGCACCTGTTATTTATTTCTTTTTCTCCTCATCCGAGGACATTTCTCCATTTTGTGTTCAGATAGAGTGGGAGGGAGAGAGAGGGAGAGAGAGAGAGAGAGAGAGAGAGAGAGAGAGAGAGAGAGAGAGAGAGAAACATCGACGTGAAAGGGACACATCGAGTGGCTGCCACCAGCACGACCAACCAGGGCCAGGGACAAACTGCAACCAAGGCACGTGCCCTTAGTGGGAACCGAACCCGGGTCTCTCTGGACTGCAGGCCAACGCTCTAACCGCTGAGCCAAACCGGCCAGGGCCAACTTCACCTGTTATCAGCATCATCGTTACTGTCTGAAAGCAAATGGCTGCTTGTCAAAGAGCATGCGCAAGCTCTGTGGGAGGTTGCAGGTAGCACATAATTAAGATAGCTAAGTGAAAATGCCCTGTGTAATTACAAATGTGCTTTAATTCCTAAGTCTTTCTTGAATGTACTGAAGACAATCCCTTCCTAGAACCTTCCAGCACAAAGGCATCATCCCTCTCCTTGGCATGCCCTATCTTCAGTTTGCTCCCTACTGACCAGCTATGTTGGGCCAGGCCTCTGGAAGGGAACAGCCTTCCTTCTTGACCTCCGACTATAAAGTGTGCGGGCAATCACCACCCTTGGTTTTGGCAGGAGAATCTCGGCCTCCGTCCTGGCTGTGTTTTTGTGTTCGCCTTCACGGAACCTGGCACCCTGCAATTATTTCATTAAAACTGTGTGTTGAGACTGTGCATTGGGAAAAAAGGGAAAACACTTCTTACAATTGTGTGTAATTTGGGAGCAATTTGGTTACCCCGCAGCAGGCTGTCAGCCTCACGCTAATTACAGCCACAGAAACAAGCCGCTGTGAGTGACAACAAAGTCAGCCTTCAGGGGACATGCTCCAGGCAGCGTCCTGTATTAGACGCCTCCTGCTCCTGGTTTACTCTGTAGCTGCGATGATCCTTGGCCTGAACTTTAAAGTTCAAATGCAAACAGAGGCCCTTTCCTTATAACTGCACAGGGCAGGAAGTACTGACCACTCCAGAATCACACAGTGTTGGAGGTAAAGGCTCTGGCGGACAGTGCCGGCACTTACAGGACATAGGCATACTCCGCAGCCACGCTGGGAATGCATTTAAATCCCTTGCCACAGCTTGACCTGACCACCTGCTTAAAATGCCTCTAGCCCACCCTGCCGCGTTCTATTTCAGCACCCTGCTTTTAGTTTCTTCAGAGCTCCCATGGCCATTTACAGTCATGTTATTCATAGGTTTTACTTATCAGTTGTTTTTCTCATTAGAACGTAAGAGTCACAAGGGCCTAAGATGCACCTCCCTCTCTCTCTCTCTCTCTCTCTCTCTCTCTCTCTCTCTCTCTCTCTCTCGCTGTGACTCCGGGGGCCGGGCTCAGAGCACCAGAGGGCAGGTGCTCAGAAGATGCCAAGAAAGGGAAGCGACAGGGACTGCTCAGGAGTCTGGGAGGAGAGGAGGCAAAGACAAGCTCATAGGAGAAGCAGCAATCCCCTGTTTTGGGGGGGACAGAGGATAAAATCAAAGTTCAAGCCCAAATTCTTTAATTCTAACAAGTCTAGCTCTAGGTGAGAATATAGGTCCGAGTAGTTTCATAAGAGGGTAAATGCCCAGAGATGTGGCTTTTCCACTGCAGACAAACAGTAACCTCTGTATTCAGAGCATGATTTTCTAAGACAAATGGTTCATAAAGTTGCCCAGGTCTAAAAATCACCCCAGGAGTTTGCTCAAAAGGGACATCTGCATCTCCAACTCAGTAAAATGAGGATGCAGAGATCTCTAGTACCCACAGAAACTTGGTCAGAAAGTGGATTTGCTCTTCACGGAGCAAACAAATGCACTAATGCTAAGTTTCTTTTCAACTGATGATTTAAAACATCAACACGTAGCCATCTCTGTTGAAAATCAAAGTAAAGCTTTCTGGGGATTCACAGACACTCCCCGCTCCCTGCCTCATTTAGACAGAAGCAACCCAAGTCATTGTCCTGACCATGTGTAGTGAGCAAGGCGGAATGCAGGCTTCACCGAAGATGAGTGATGCAGATGGACAAACAAGGTTTAGGTCATTAGGTCCATGTCCTTAGGTGGAAGTGCCCACAACATGCACCACCATAGTACACGAGCCACGTATACATACGTACCGATTTTGCAAAGCTGAAGAAGCTCTTGGTCTCTCCAGTCACCATGTTGGATGAACCTGAAAATGAAAGATTCCCAAATCAACGACTGCTAATGAAAACCAACATCTTTCCCCCTGGCCAGCTTGGCTCAGTGGTTGGAGCATCAGCCTGCGTACCAGAGAGTCCCAGGTTTGGTTCCCGCTAGGGGCACGTACCAAAAAAAATAAAAAAGAAGACCAACATCTCTCATCACGCATGAAAGAATGGTAGTTGTTCCATCCAAAACCGTCAAGAGCCTGAGTCAGCCTGGGGGGAATGAGGATAACGGAGGGGGTGGGTGGTGTCAAGCTGACTTCATTTTAACTAAGTTACTCTGGCTCAAAAAGGAGTAACATTTCTCAAGGTGGTCATTTCATTTCTTTGGAAAGTTGGGCATGTGGCCACAATGTGGTTTCAGCCAACACGCTAGCAAAATGATGAGCTGCGGAAACAGCTTGTTGGCTCCATCCTTAGAGACTGAGAAACGAACTCCTATGTGAGCCTCCTTTATGGTTTGAATTTGGTTCCTTGGCAAGTAAGGGGCTTGGGGCTTTGACCTGGGCGGGGCACTTCAGTGGTAGGAAGAGACTGGGATGAGCTAAAATTTAGATGGATGGGAAAAATGGCACAGAGAGGAGCAGACGAGAGTGAAACAGGTCCAGAAATAGTGTGGCCAATTCCTGAGCCCCAAAGAGGTCTGGGCAGAAAGGTAGAGACCACTTGAGAAAAACGGTATGAGAAGCTGAGCTTTGCTGGTTGGAATCAGCACTATCAGAGGGAAGATGGGAGGTGAAGTTGGGAAAGGTTCCCTAAGATGTTCTTGCAGAGAGAAAAGACTCCTCGGTGGGTTCCCAGGGGGTTGGGGGTGGGTGCATGAGAGAGTTCTTAAAGTTCAGATCCCTAATGGGGCCTTTTCAAGGAGTTTCTTTACTTGTCGCCATAGAACTGAGAGTAAGTTTTTCTCAGAGAACTGTTACTTAATAAAGACAAAACAAAACCAGCAATGTATATTTTAAACTTAATTATTTGGCCTGGGTAAACTAGTAGCCAGTTAGTTAATCACTGCTTCTAATTTTATGTGGTGACTACCACCAAGCCTCATGGTACTAGGCTCCAACTACTTAGTAATCAAGTAATCAGTGAGACACTGTGATATGATCAACGTGTATTCCATGAAATCTATGAAACCCGGGCAAAAATAGAATCAGTAACTAAGTGAAAAATGAATTAACTGTCCATCTGCATTTGACTCACATTTTAGTCATATCCAGTATCCCTACACTGTGCATCGATGCTCAAAGCTTCTCTTATCAACAGTAAAATCTGAAAACTATGTGTCCACCCCCAAAAACTTTCAAATATGTGGCCACTATTGAAAATACCAAAATGTTCCAGCAATGGGAAGCGTATTTCCTCTCTTCCTTTCATAACGATCTGATGATAACAAAAAGATGCTTGACTATTTATACCTCTCGATGATCTCTTTTATCAGCCTTCTCTGCTAATAGCAAGGAAATACTTTTTTTTTTCTTCTGAGTTATACAGAGCTAAGGCTCAATTTTCTATTGTACCTACAGGGCACAGAGGTACCAAAAATCTTGAATGTTGGATAACCCAATGTCATTCGGCTTTGCAATGGGACATCTGGCTTCAGATATATATATATTTTATTTTGTAGAGACTGATGTTTACATCACTTTGCATGCCTATGAAAGGACAGAAGAAGAATGGGGAGGGGGGCTCTGGGGTCTCATTCCGCGAGAGAAAACCTGCTCCCTGACGTCCTTCATAGATCCTCCCAAACCCAAGGTGCAGAAGCAGATCTGTGCTCCACCTACCCAGGACTCCTACCTTGACTGGGCCATACAGGCATGGTCCAGAGAGTGTTGTTTGGAATGTCATCTCTGATACCGAAGAACCTCTTCTAAAACCCCACACCCCAGCCACTGCTCTCTGTTCCTTCATTTCCCAACTGTGCCACTTTCCATGGGTCAAGCCCCGCCTCCGTGACTCCGTGGGCTTGGCTTGGTCCCTTTTGCAATAAGAAGTATTCTTGGGAGTAACAAAGCAGTAGACATACCTGTCACTTGTGTCATTGAAAACAACTAATGCCAATAGCACTATTTTGCAAACCATCAAAAAAGTAAACACCCCAACCTCATTGCCCCAACAGAGCAACGCATTTCAGTTTCCGGAGCCTCTGTCTGCCAGCACATGCGCCGTGCTCTTCGTCAGTGAGCGTGTGCCCCGCTCCCGGTTAGCACTCACCATATAAAATGTAGGTTCCCAGTGGTTTGAGAAGGCTGAGACCTTTTCCAGTGTTGTCCCCACAGAGGCAATCCAAAACAATGTCCACTCCTTCCGCAGAGATTCTAAGTGGTAAGAAGACAAAGGACAATACCATAACCCATCGGGGACCAAACTGTGTATCTCTTTCTTTTCCTGTGTCATATTGTTTAGTCCCAGAATCAGGAAGAGTGATAGCTCTTGAGAGTAGCAATAAATAGGGCAAAATCCCAGGAGGTGGATTTATCCTCCTGGGTCCAAGGACAAGAATTTTAGAAAGCTGGAGGCAGCTGAGAATCTGGCCGGTGGCTGATACAGGGAACGAGCCTGGACTAGGAGAATGCGCGTGGACGCCAGGCAGTACGCATTGTATCTAGCTGCCTCACTCAGCTTTCTTGTGCCTTAGTTTTCTCCTTTGTCAAGTGGAGCTGGCATGTTTCCTTCTGCTAAAAATTCAATGAGGTGACCAATGAAATGCTTGGCCCATTGCCAGCCCCATAATAATCACCCCATAAATAAGTCTGTCAATAATTCATATGTGTGGAGCTTGAGTTATGTGCCAAGCTCTGTCCAAGGTGCTGGAGACAGAGCGGTGAACAAAACCAACATGTTCCCTGTCTTCATGGGGCTTCTGGTCTCGGAGGGATTGGCTTTCTTCCGTCTCCACTCCCCTCTTCAGTGAAGCTATAAAAACCATGTTAATTTAACTTGCAAACTTCTTTTTGTCCAAGCTCCAGGTTCAATCTAAAACATGGTCTTTGAGGAAAAGGGTTAAATAGAGAAGATCTTCCTACAGCAATGGGAGGTCCCAGACCAGAGAGAATACTCCATTTGCACTGTTAGGAGTGCATTTATTCCATTCATTTATTTATACCTTCACTGATTCACACATGCATTTAACAAACATCTACTGGGCTTCCACTGTTAGAAGATATGCAGGAGAGAGCTCTGAAGATTGTAGGAAAAATATCGATGCCCATGGAGCTCCTGATTGTGGCTGGGTCCTGTTCCACTCAGAATAGAATGGCATTTCCTCAGATTTGTGAGTTTGCAGGATTATCCTGTTTTAGCACATAATTCAGTTTTTCCATCCCCACCCTCATCCCCCAGGAAAATCTAGGCACTGCAGTGCATGTCAACAGTTGTGACCACAGTGCCACTAACTCGGAGACTTCACGTGTTATCTCCTGGGTCAGACACTAGATGGACAGCTGAGTCTTGGTGTGAGTAAGCCCTTCAAAACCTTCAAGTCAAGTCTAAAATCCATCCCATTACAGAGGCTCATCTGAAATGATCAGATTCACTTCTACCTAATAGAGCTCTTAACTGCACAGGTGTGTCCTTTCAAGTCCCACCTGTAAGTTCACAACTAGGGCATTAGGCCAGTGGACCGCAGACCTAAGTGTGCATCGCAGAGGGCTCACTGAAACACAGACTGTAACGTGCCCACCCTCCCCTCTCCTTCTAGCTTCTGGTCTGGGGAGGGGCCCAGGGATTTGCATTTCTGACGAGTCCTCCAGAGAGGCTGATGGTGCTGATTCTTCCACCATGTTTTGAGATCCTCTGGTCTAAGCCAGTTAGTTACTCAAGAGCCAAGCCAGCAATTTTTCAAATCAGTAATTAATTTGTTCATTAAATATTTAGCCCTGGCACTGCACTAGGCACTGGGGGATGTACTGGTGAGCCCACACAGATTTTATTTCTCCCTCTTTGGAGCTTACATTAGGCACATATTAACCAATAATTACACAAATAAAAATTTAATTGAAACTGAATGGGTCTAGTGTCACAAAAGTATTATGAGACCATCTACATCGAGGGTTTGCTCACTCAGGAGTGCCAGAGAAGCGGCCCTGGGGAAGTGATGAGTGGAGGGTGAAGGCGTTCGCTAGGCAAACAGTGCCGGGAATAGTGTTCCAGGCAGAGGGATTGGCATGTGCAAAAGCCCCCGTGGTGGGAGGAGCCTGATGAGCGGAAGTCTGGGAAGCAGGGGTCCTGAGGGGTGGAGTAGAGCGAATGAGAGGGAGCTTGCTGTAAGGTGAGGATGGAGAGGCGGGAGGGAGTTGAAACGCAGTGTTGCTGGGCTTGAAGGTGGTGGTCAGGTTTCCACCTCACATCCCAAGACGAGTAACTCCGCTCTGGTCTTCCTCCCTTCCACCAGGTCCATTTTAGCCCAGTTTGTTCACTCCTCTGGCGGTGGGACCCTGCTCTGCCCTACTAGCCAGCCCTCCTGGGCCAGCAAGTCTTCCATGTGAGCTTCCTTTTCCCAAGACGTCTCTCTTTGCTTACAGAATGGCTGTGCTTAGGAGCAGCGTCCCACACACTAGGCTGTGCACACCTTCCAGGGCACTCTTGATGGACCTGCCCAGTCCTGAGTCCTCATTTTTTGCCTGATGCTTCTCACAGCTATATTCTACTTGTGGGTCCACATTTTCCCCCCACAACCTGCCAATCAAATCTCCTTGTATTAGCTGCCCCACTGCGGCCCATTTCTCAATCCTCTGGACTCCGTAAGGGGGAACCTATAAGTCTCTGCCCACTTTCCCATCCTTACTTCCCACTAATTTTTCAAGGCTTCCTAACCTCTGGCTATCCCTAAAACCCCTACCTCAGGGCCTTTGCATGTACTGTAATCTCTGCCTGAACACCCTCTCCGCAGCTCTCCTTAGAACTGACTCCTTCCTCCTCATCCTTCAGGCCTCACTCACATGTGACCTCCCCAGAGAAGCTGTAAGTAATCACCGCCCCCTGAAGTGATCACCCCACCCCCAAATTCTCTCTATTTGAGCTCCCTTTATGCTTTAATGTCCACAGTGGATACTTTTTAGTATCGATCATGGGCTGTAATTATTCTACTTATTTGTTTGCTTACTCACTGACCGTCTCTTCCACCGAAATGAAAGCCCCGTGACACGGGGACCATGTCTGCGCTGCTACCTGTTGTATCCTCAGCCTTTCTCACCCTGCTGGGGACAGCACTGGTTCTCAGGAAATGTTGATCGATTGCGTGACTGAAGGATTAAATGGATAAGTGAATGAGAGAAATAGACTGTGATTCCGCATCTCTCTGCTGTGCTTCCCACAAAGGCCACTGACATTCCGAGTTCTGCGTCCCCCAGTCCTTTTGCCATTAATCTCCACGGCCGTCCGGGGAAACGGAGGCTCACGGAGGCAGCGCCCTGCCCAAGCTGATGTAACTGGCACAGCTGGACCTCAAAGGTCGGTCTAGTGTAAGTGCGGCGCTGATGGCCTTTTCACCACGCTGACTTTGAGACCTACTAAGTGCTCAAACCAGCATCATTGGGAGCACGGCTTTAGTAAGCGGCTCTGGGGAAGCGGTCCATTTAACGGAGTCTTTGAAGAAGCCAGGCTTCAGTTTTGCCACTGAAAATAAATGTACATGTATTCAGAGTTAGGCCCTGTTTTCCCATACAGGGAGGCCAACGGTTTCTATTTCCAGGCAGCTTTTTTCCATCCTAGATTATAGGAGACACCAAGGTCAGGGTCCTACACACTGGTCCTGCACTTCCAGCCACTGGACAGCCATTCACTGCGTGCTTACTTCATGCTAGGCCCTGTGGGTGCTGAGCTGGGAATACACAGACGGAGGTTTGAGTTTATCCCTGCTACCCAGGAGCTGAGGGTCACTGGGAGTTAGATGATGAATGGGCAGCCCAGACGCGGGGTGCTCACAGCTCCAAGAGGGTGACTCGGGGGCTGTGGAAGAGAGTCCTCTGCTGAGCACTGATGGATGAGCAGGAACTGGTCAGGTGCGGAAGGGAAGGCATTTCACAGTACAACAGCCTGACTTAGGGCCATCCACGGAGTAGGCCCAGGAGCCTTTGGGAGGCCAGCCGTGGGAACGAGAGGCCCTGGCCACGGTCTCCTCCCAGAAGACTCAAGGCTGGCTGCCACCACCGCCAACTAGTGTGGGGACAGCGAGCAGCTGTGTGGCCGGGGAACAGCAGCATAGCACTGGGCTTAGGAATGTGGGTTTCATCTCAGTGTTAAGTGTTTAGTTCTGTCCCTCACTGGCTGTGTGACCTCAGGTGAGTTACTTGGTATCTCTGAGCCTACGTGTGGAAGGAGAGGATGGTGGTAACACCTGGCCCGGGCATCCCTGTGAAGCCTGAATGAGTGGATGCGTGTGGAGCGCAGGGCCCGGCTCACGGTGCCTCTGGGTCCATGGTAGCTTTTGTTACCACCTTTCAGAGTGTCTGCCTTAAAGAGTGTTCTTCTGGTTTGGTAAAAGACCATGAAAGAAAAACTGCAAAACCTCAACAACCCAACCATCAGCCAGAGCATCCTTCAGGGTGGGTAGAGCCACCAGCCCAGAAACCATTAGAACAGGGGCTCAGTGACCTTGACCCTCCGAGGAGAGCATGTCCCACATTCAAGAGCACCTACTATGTGCCGGGAACAGTGCTGAGCACTTCTTACGTCTCATCTCATCGACACATTATGCCAACCAGCCCTGTGACTCACGGGACATCATCCCCCTTTGATGGATGAGGAAACCGAGACTCTGTGGGTTCAGGCGACTTACCCCAAGGCCCATGGTGGGCAATGGGAGGACGCTGGTTTGACCCCTCGCATCTAGATATTAGGTGAGGGCCCCAGAGGCGGAGTAGGATTTTACACTGAGCTGTGGCCAGCCTCGGGGTGACCACCACTGCACTTCTGGGCCCCACAGTCGTCCAGCAGGGGCTGAGCAAAGCGGGGTCATTCCCTGGGCTCCACGCAGGAAGGCGCACTGCAGGCCTGTGTATGCGGCCCACCGGCTCCTCCCCACGCCTTTCTACTGCTGAATTCGGTAAAACAGGGTTCGCACATGCTCGGGGTCAAACACGCCACAGATTCATTCCTCCCCCTCTCACTGCATCCACAGGTCAGGGGAGTGGTGGGGTGAGATGCAGTCTGAGGAAGGGAAGCTGGCGGAGCTGATGCCATTCCCTGGCTCCCCCGGGTGAAGATGCTTTGGCCGCGTCTGTCAAAGCGTTAGGCAGACACAGCTCCTTCTGAGGTTAGCAATGGCCCTTCGTTGGAAAGAGCGCCATCCCTCGTGCAGTCATTATAAGCCCAGTGCAGTCACCGAATGGGACCCAGCTGAGTCCACTGGAAATGCTGCCAGCCCCCCAAGCAGCCCGGGGTGGGTGCCCCTCAGTCATGCTCACATCAAAAAGCACCCTAGCAGCTCCTTTCAATGGAATAATCATGAGAAGCACAAGCAGTGAGGTCGTGTCCCAGGGGCGCAGGGCCAGCCTCATTTCCTAGGCCCCCTATTTCTGGGGTGCTCGCCTTGCCTCCACATACAATCATGACTACATAAAGGCGGGAGGGTGAGGGCAGAGAGCCATACGCCACGGATGCTATGTCTGCCTTTTCCTGCTGCCATAAACCTCCCCAGATGAAGCACACACAGCCCCAGCTCAGGGCTTCTCTGGGCCAGATTCAGCAGCCGGGTATTTTGAAATTGCTAATCTAAGACTTTCGTGTCTGGCCTTCCTTGGTCCCCAAGTCCTCACCCCTGTATCGAGAATGCCAGCTCTTTGCTCCCCACCCACATGGATCAGTGAAGAGTTTCTCCTGAGGGGTGGCAGGTCCCACAGAGCCATCGCTGGGACAGAAACCCTCCCACTTTGCCAAGAAATTCATTCCGCTTTATTGTAACTTTCCTTTCCAGTTGGATCCTTGGCTCTCCACTCAGTCCTTTTCCTGAATTCCTTTCCTCGGAGAACTCCCCTGTGCCATAGCTTTACCATCACCTCCAACCTACGGACAGAGAGATGGAGCTACTGCAGACTGCCCAGCGCGGCGCCTGGCACACAGTAGGCCTCTCACAGAGGGCTGAACAGTGTCCAGTGCCCAGAGGGTGAGCTCAGCAGCCAGTGCACAATAGAGGCTCCTCACAGGGTGCCAAGCACAGTGCCCGGCACACATTCGTAGATGTTCAGTATCAATGGCTCCCATATGTGCTTAGCAATACCACCTCGAGGAATCCGTTCTTGACCATTTTCTGTTCTGTCCAGGTGATTACTCTCATTAATTTCCACTACGTCTTGGTTTCTTTATCTGTGAATGAGGAACTGTCACTGCAGGGCTGCCGGAGGTACACAGTGGTCTCACTGCGAGGTTCAGCAGAGGGAGAGACCAGCCGAACCCGGAGCTATTATCCGCCTGACGCTGCGCTCACTCGCCTGCGGGGGACTCGCTCCCCACCGCCTTCTACCTACTGGAATTGCTCCCATCCTTCATGCACCCCTCAGGGGCTGTCCACCCTGCTGCTCTCTCCGGTTTTTCTCTCCTCTTTGTTTTATGGCCCTTAACATTCGGAGACACATATTTTCAAGGCTCCGAAGTCTTGTACTTGTTCCAAGCAGAGGCATCTCTCGCCTCCCAAACAGAAGGACAAAGCGCTGCGAAGGTGAGGTCGGTAGACCTGGTTTCCCCCATCCCTTTGCAGTGCTGGGCTCAAGGCTGAGAGTGTGTTCAACAGAAGCTTACCCAGAGACTGGTTTATAAAAGCCTTCGCATCTCAAATAATTTTATGTTGTTATTTTTTCCTCGTTTATCAGACGCATAAGAGTGTAGGAACAAGATGTGCGATCAGAAAAGAAAGAGAAATACTCCGCGTCCCCCTCCCCTTGCATGTTGGCGGTTGGATTTCTCCCCCCTTTCCGTTCATTTTATGTTCTCCCGAGTCGAGAATTTACACAAAGCTGTGATCACAGTGTAGATGAAATTTGGCAGTCTGCTTTTTTCACTCAATATGCTACCATGGGTATTTTTTTCCATCTTGTGACAGAGTCTCCATAATTATCTTTCTTTCTTTTTTTTTAGGGCCTGCATAATACCAAAGTGTGTGGGGGTAGCATAATCCGCCGAACTATTTTCCTTCTGCACGGAGGCGCTTCTGCATCTTCCTGAGTGCAGACAGCGGCGCTATAACTCACCCGCGGAGACTTGCTGCGCACCTACAGTGAGTCGGCACCTGTTGCTTTTTTCTCCCTTGGGATTATTTCCTGAGGACAGGGTTAGTGGGACAGAGGGCATGAACATATCTGCGCTTCCCGCTCATTTCTAGTCTAATTCCAGGGTCTCTGCCTAAAAACATAAGGAACTGTTGGGAGTCACACTTGAAAGAGGTGCTGGTGAGGTGGGTCTCAGAAGCTGCTGCCCTCTGCTCTGCCCACAGCAGTGGACATCACTGATCCAGGGCTACAGGGACCAGGTCAAGGACAGGGAGGGACAAGGGGATGGAGCCACTACATGGGAAAAGCTGGTCACAGACTGTCCCTCACATCTCAGAAGCGCCACCCCAAGCCCCTCCAGGTGCACAGCTGTCCTCAAATCTGCCCCGCCTCTTCTGATGCTGGCCCTGGCACATGCCACGCCCCCTGGTCAGAAAGGCTCTTCCTTTGGCCAAATTCTCATCCTTCCATTCACAGCCCAAATCTCACTCTTGGATGGACAATATGTCCGATCCCAACTGCAGGTGTTTACTAGCACCTTGCATTTCTCCAACAGGGCACCTAGGGAAATTGTAAATCAATGCATTTTTAAAATTTCTTCTTTGTGTTTCCTCTTGTCCAACTAGACTCAAATTCCATGCAGATGGTGACTCTCAAGGTGGTAGTCTGGCTGTGTCTCCCGCCCTGGCCCAACACAGACATTCCGTGCTTATTCAGCAGGTCGGTACATGAATAAAGGGAAGGATGTTCACCAAAATATCAGTAAGAGGATGAAAGCAAAGACTGCTGAGGGGACAGTGCTGGTTCATTTTCCAGACCACAGCTTGACAGACACGAGTTCAAAGAAGGGACTACTTAAGGGTTATGAAAATAGGCAAAGGTAAATCTTGGAAGTCTTTAAAACATGCCTGTGATCTACAGGCTTCCGAGAACCAGGTGGCGAACTTCTAACATCTAGCTGTAAAGCTCTCTCTTCATGTCCTACTGGAAATACTGGGACAATTTTAAATTACGGGCACATCTCTCCATTCAAAATTTAAAAACAAATCTGAAAGTTCAGGCTATCAGAGGACTCTCCTTTCCAAGAAACTTTCACTTAATCTGGTCTAAATGTACCATCTCAGACAACCAGATCTCCCATCCCTCTAGTCCTTCAATGTCATCTTAATGGGTGGTTTGCAGAACATTGTGATGTTATTATTAGGATGCTTGCTGGACACCTTAATTCCTTTGTACCTTACGACTGAGTGCTGATCAATTGAAAATACAAACACACTGGCTCTGGGACATCCCTGAGTCCCCTCAGAAGCTGGGAGTGGAGCGGGACCTGAGAACTAGCCTTGAACTCTGAGCAGCAGGCGAGGTGAAATGCACAAATCATCTGAGACCATGGTGGCAGCTGGGTTTTCCACCTGATTCTCTGTGCTGGCATGCATAGAGCCATGATCAATAGCTTCAGGATCATGGGTGGAAATGGATCAGGTTAGAAGCCAACGTCCCCCTGGGTGACTGCAACAGCCAGCAGACTGATCTCCCGCCTCCAGCCTTCCCTCCCCCGTTCATTCTATGCAGACCACCAGTGACTGCTCAAAACCCAAATCTGATCATGTGACCACTTTGGTTCTTCATTGGCCCTCAGTTTTACCCAGGTTGAAGTCCACATTTCCTTAGTCTGTGTGTGAATAAATGAGAAACAAACTTCTCTGTGTTAAGGCAGTGTTATAGCAGCTAGCATAATAGCTTTGCAAGTTATAAATTAGCTTTGCAAGTTACTTAACTGCTCTGTTCCCAGGTTTTATCCTCTGCAAAAGGGGGATATGAATGAGGTGGTTAAGAGGATTAAATGCGCTAATACAAGTGAAGTGTTTAGCACAGAGCTAGTCATACTAAGCCCCTAATATATATGGACTATTATCACTATATTAGTAGTATTAGCCTCCCTTCTAGATGAATTGCAACTGTTCTTTCAGAGAGAGAAGGGCGAGGGCCAACCTGGTGATCTTTTGAGCAAGCTCCTTACCTTTTCACTTCTTGCACATAGTCTGCATTCCTGTCGAAGAGGTGGGTCACGGAGTCTTTGATGGCTTCATGCTTGAAGGTAGAAGCTGTTCCAAAGACCGTCACATTGGGGATAGTGGAACACAGCTGAGCCACAGCCTGGCCCTAGAAGTGAAATACAATGGGCAGGTCACACGGGAGCCACCAGCCAACGACCCAGTCTTGCTGAGTGTAGAGCAGGATCTCTCAACCTTGTCACCACTGGCCAGTTTTAGGCTGAATTAGTCTTGGTTGTAAGGAGCTACACCGTGTATTATAGGATGTTTAGCAGCCTCCCTGGTCTCCACCTACTAGGAGTCAGTTGTGACAACCAAAACTGTCTGTAGACATTTCAAATGCCCCTGGGGGCAAAGTCTCCCTTGGTTGAGAAGCACTGGTGTAGAGGCGTGTCAGTATGAGCCAGCGAAACTCCAGCACAGAGACTTAACAACTGTTACTTAACCATACCGAGCCTCAGATTCCTCTTTATAAGTTAGCATTAACGGCACCTACTCCACAGGGATCTTCAGGGATATCTTAGTTTGGATTCCCCCAGAAACAGACACTAAGGTGAAGATGTGAGTGTGAGTACTTTATCAGAATACAACTGCAGGCAATAACAGGGTATCAAGACAGAAAAAGAAGGCAGCCCACACAGGGTATGTTATCAAGCCCATACCCACTGCGGCTACCTGGAACTCAAGCCCTCTGAGGAACCCTGTGAGTAAGTGTAGAATATACTTCAGAGTTATCCCAACCAAGTGAGGAAGCCGGAATATTATCCACCAAATCTCCATCTGCTATCGGTTGAGGGTTGCTTCTGCAGCAGTAACTCTTGTGCATGTCTGTCTTGTCCTCAACCTCCAGCATGTTGAGTTGAGTGCAGAGAAGATATAGTGTGGCCAGCAACATCTGCTACAAGGTGTTAAATGAGGCAAGATGTAACACCAGTCAAGCACCGGGCACAAATGAGGGAACTTAATAGGTACTAGTAAATCCTAATCATCTGTACCCTTCAATGGCTTATTATATCCAGAGTTGAGATGTCCAGCTATAGAAAGAAAAGGCCAATGCATGAGGCTTAAATATTAAATGATCCAGGAGAAATCACAGATGCAATTAGAAATGGATGATTTTTCCATGTCCTTTTTCAGTATGCTCAGAAATTTAAGTCATTGGACAAAATACAGTGACCATGTACAATCAGAAGCCTTCCTCCCAAAACCAATTTTCTGGCAAATAAGATGCATTCAATTTCAGAATAGAAGAGTACTGTCTCTTTCAGTGTTTCGTCTGCCATCTCTAGGAGGGATAAATTATTATGGAGGGAACTTATTCTACCAAAGTCATCTGTGATATTTATTTCTGCCCATCACTTGATTCACATGTCTTCTTCATGTCGGTGGACTAAATTAGGTTGGCGGGTCAATTTGTGGAAATTTAATTCTTCCAACATTTACAATTAAAGGAATCAGAATGCCAGACTTAGAAGATCATCCAATTACCCTTTCCAATCATTGTTTTATGGATGCGGAAAAGGGACTTGGGAAGGTTAAGGTGACCCTGTTCTTCAGAGGCAGATCTGAGATTTAAAGCAAGGTCTCCTGATTCCCAGTCATTGCCATTTTCAGTTATGCCATGTTGTCAACTTATTTTGACATTTAAGCTAAGCAGACTTTTCAGTTGCAACCTAAAATAGGCACAGTACTGACATGCTAACTTGGAGGTCAACATTTTAGAACAGGAGTGTGACCCTAAGACTCCAGAGAGGCTTATAGTTCTCTGTTCTAAGAATAGCTTCGATTAGTTAAGTTTTTTGTCCCCAGATTTTAGAGAACAAAGAAGGAGCTGTCCTCACTAGTGAGTGTAAATAGCAGCAGTCAACAGAGCAATCCTCTCAAATTCCACAGGGCTTGAGCCAACCTTGCGCGTGCTGGGATGGGAGATCGAACAACTTCCAACATTCGAGTAGTTCCTCCTGCCCTCAATCCGTAAGCAAACATGACGCTTATCCAGTCAATTCTTTTTCAAAGTCCTATTATGTACTCTGTGCTATAGATGCTGGAGTGTCAGAAATGGTCAACACGCCTTAATCTCCATCTCTGGTCCCCAGTGTCTCACTGAGTCCCAGAACTGCATATCGAACTACTGTTTGGGCACCAATCACCACCTGGCTATTCAAAACTAATACATGTAGCTCCACTGACCGCAAACAGAACTCGGGGCCATCTCCAAATGAGTTTCTCCTTGTATTGGTTTGTTAGCACCGTTGTAACCATGTTCCGCACTGGGTGGATTAAACAACAGGAGTTATTGGTCCACAGTTCGGAGGCTAGAAGTCTGAAACCACGGTGTCAGAGGGTTGGTTCCTTCTAGTGGCTGTGAGCAAGAGGTCCGGTCCAGGCCTCCTCCTCGGCTTGTCGAGGGCCGTCTTCCCCTTGTGTCTTCGCATGGCATTCCCTCTGTGTGTCTGCGTCTAAACGCCCCCTTTTTAGAAGGACACCCGTCATCCTCAATTAGAGGTCACCCTAATGACCTCATTTTAATTTGATTACCTCTGGAAAGACCCTACCTCCAATTGATGGCCTATTCTGAGGTGCTGGGAGATGAGATTTCATCACATGAATTTTGGGGAGACATGATTCAACCCATAACACTCCTCTGCCTGCATTTCTGCCTCAGTGGATGGAATCACACCGTTCACCCATCACCAAAGCTAGGAACCCGGGGTTATCCGGGCTCCTCTTCTGCTCTCACCCACACGTCCCATGAGTCAGCAAGTGTGTTATTTCCACTCCCCCTCTCTCGTGACCTAGTCCCGTTGTCATACTCCCTCCCCTGGATCATGACAACACTCTTCTGACTGGCCTGGCGGTTTCCGTGCACATTTCCCCCTGTGGACAGAGTGGTTTTCCTCAAACACAGCACTGAGCAGTTCCCCACTGGTTCAGAGCGTCCCAGCACGTGGCGTGGCTGTCAGAAGGAAACGCACACCCTTCGTGGCGCAAGGCCGGCCCTCACCGACCTGGCCAGTCTACCTCGTCACACGATTTCCCTCCCTTTCCAGGGTCCGCTCCCGAACAACACAGCTTGAGCATCCCTGGTGGACATCTGTCATGAGCCTGGTGCCGTACAGCCCGTGGCACTCTCGGAAGGAGTCTTTTTCAAAATCCTCAACCCAACATGTTTTCCATTGATTTTCAGATAGAGTGGGAGGGAGGGGGAGAGAGAGAGAAACATTGATGTGAGGGAGACACATCGGTTGGTTGCCTCCTGCGTGACCTTGACTGGGGCCAAGGATTGAACCCACCACTGAGGTATGTGCCCTTGACCAGGAATCGAACCCATGACTCTTCAATCCACAGGCCGACACTCCAACCGCTGAGCCAAACTGGCCAGGGCCTCCAAATGAGTCTATATCCTTATCTTACTGAGGCAGAAGCTGAGTTACTTATATATTTATATTATTTTTTAATATATGATGTATGAATAGTATGTATGTAACATACATTGATATACAAATATTATATCATTAAAATAGTGTAGAATTAGTATATGTATATATGTATAGTATATCTGTATATAAGAGTAATATCTAGTATATAATATTCCATTTATAATATTTAATTCATATAATAATGCAGTATCTCCCCCCTTATTGATGGTTTCCCTTTCTACTGTTTCAGTTACCTGAGGTCAACCTCTGTTCCAAGATGTTAAACCGAAAACTCCAGAAATAAACAATGCGCAAGTTTGAAATTGTGCACCGTTCTGAGTAGCGTGATGAAAGCGCACACGGTCCCACTCCGCCCTGCCTGGACTGCCTCGCCCGGCTGTCTCCAGGCTGCGTACGCCTCCGGGGTGTCACAGTGCTTGTGTCCCAGTCACTTTTATTCTATTGTTATAATGGTTCAGTTTTATTGTTAGTTATTATTGTGAAGCTCTTACTGTGCCAAATGTATAAATGAAACTTTATCACAGGTATGCACACTTAGGAAAAAACGTTAGATAGATAGATAGATAGATAGATAGATAGATAGATAGATAGATAGATACACAGACAGACAGACAGACAGACAGACAGACATAGGGTTCAGTGCTGAGTTTCAGGCACTGGGGGTCTTACAATGTATCCCCTGTGGATAATGAGAAGACTATTGTAACACAATAATTAATAGAATTATTATAGATGCATACATAACATAACTAGTAGAATACACAAGTACTATACATTACATCATCATTTATATTCTTATATAAATAAGAATGTGTAGAAAACACAAATTTAGTACCCATCTATTTGCAGCCCCCCCCCACCACACACCTTTTAGCTCTATTACTTAAATCCGGCCCCGAGAGCCCCTTGCGAGACCCTCCGTGGTTTTCTGAAGTAAGTAAAGCTCAGCATTCTATATTTCATTCTATATTTCAGCAGCAAAGCACCCCCTCACCGCTACAGAAAGTGCACTCGCCCTTCTCCGGCTCCCAAGGTGGAAGCAGGATCAGCACCTCATTTATCCTTGTTCCACCTGCATGCCTGGCAAATAGCACGGACTCGATAAACATTTGTGGAAGACAGAATGAATTTTCAATAAAAAGGATTTTGCAATTTACCTGCAGACCCAGAACATAAAGTGAACAAGACAATCCATTCTCCCAGCAACAGCCATAAATGGAGATCTGCATGTACTTGTTTTTAATTGATTTTGCTTTCCCTCTCCAGGATGTACGAATTCTGCGACAAGCCTCTGCGCCTCCTCCCCGCGCTCACGGTGCGACAATGGCAATAGGTGCGGGTCCTTTTGTCTCACCGTGTGCCGGGTACCGTGCTCGAGTGCTGCATTAAATCTTCACTCCACTTTGAGAGTATTGTTGCTTCCCTTTTATGCCTGAAAATGGGGGTCCTGAGAGGGAAAGGAACTTGTCCAAGGGTATCTGCTTGTGAATGATGGAGCTGGGAGTCCAGCTCAGCTCAAAGCCACTCTGCTAGGAGTCTCCTCAGCCATCCAGCCAAGACAAATTGCGGACATGAAGCTGGAGTCTTAGAGAGAAACCGTGGGTCCCTGCATCAGTCTGGAAGGCTTCATTGAGCCTCTCTTTGGAGAGCTTTGTCTTGGGTTCATTGG